GGGGAAAAAACGATGAAGTGGATGGAGCTCGCGCTTTCTCTTTCTGTTTCTGTGTGTGTCCGTTACTCTTTGCATCCCCTTCTCTATCCACCCTCCTGCTTTCTCCGTCCGTCGTCCGTTCTTTCCTCCTCCCCTCCCCCTTCCTCTCTGTGCCCCCCCTCTCTCATTCCTGTGCCGCGGCGATGCGGGTTGACGATATATAGATATATATATATAAAATAAAGTTTGTAGTATGATCATTGTCAATTTGTGGTTGTCGTCATTATTAAGTTGATGATTGGTTGTAATTTTTATGTCATTATACTACTATCACGTAATGAATTTTACCAAGTATTATTTTGTACAGATCGTTTCGCATATTAACTTGATGATGTTGCACTCGTTTGTCCGTTCTAAAAACGTTTTTTAAGGGGGTAGCACCTAATCATTCCGTGTCCCTCTGATTCCATGAGGACTCGAACTCATGAGCTGTTTGTTAACAGTTTACATAATATGCGTGTATCATTCTGCCGCATGACATGGGCTGAGTTTACGCACCTGACTGTGTCCAACTGTCTCACAATTCGAACTCATCACGCCCTGATTAACAATCCCACGTGACACGTCTATACATCATGATGGTAAATAATCAACAGCATAGTACCATTCAGCCACATGGGTTCAATTCGAACTCATGACCCGCTCATTAACAGTCACAAGTCTATATTTACTAAATAGCAAGTATTCTCTAAATAGTAAATAGAGAATAGCATACCATTCAGTCAGTCACATGGCCTGAGTAAATTCTTTGCGAAAAAAGGGCTTATTCAAATTACCTGTCGGGACAGCGCATAGGGATTGGTCCTGTTTGATGCTACCGTGGTCCTGTTTGATGCTACGGGCTGTTCCCTATCCGTTATCACCCACCTGCAGGTCGGGAGCAGCCCCCGCATGTTCTCTCGTGAACACGGTTCTGGCCGCTACGGGGTTGCGTACAATTAGGAGTAGTGGTAGGTAGGTAGTGTGAGGTGAAATTGAGAGAAGTACATAGCTTTCGAAAAAAAAAAAAAGATAACCAGCGTCCGAGCACGGATGTGGCTGCTACGGGGTTCGCCGTAATACAATAATGACAATAGAAAAGGCCTGAAAGGCCGTCCTGTCCAGATTTGACAGGTAATTGAATTGGTTGGGCTAGCCTTTTAAACAACAAAAATACCTTTCTCGGGCTTTTGCCTAAGATCAAGTGTATTAATATCTGTTCTGATCAGTTTAGTATCTGATGCGTGGTCCATAGGGCCACAACGATATCAAATCAATTTTTGGGGCGACGGAGGGGCAAACGGGTAAAAGCCCCTCCGCTTCCTCGACCTTTCTCGCGTTGCCTCTGTGCCGCACTGCGGCAGAGTGCGGCGCAGCCCTCCATTAAAAAAAAAACAAAGAAAGAAGAGGAAGAAGAAAGAAAGAAAGAAAAAAGGTGTACGGATCCGCCATTCGGGCACATGCGATTGGTGGCGTTTCTTTCGTGGAAGGTCCCCCCAATCTGATTCCTTCTTTTACTTATACGGATCTGTATCTTTCTCTCTCTCTCATCCCTTGCTTCCTTCCCCCTCCCTCACAGGTGTACCTATCTCGATGGATAGATAGATCGCAGGAACTGGATGTGCGTGTGTGTGTGTGTGTGTGTGTGTGTGTGTGTGTGTGTGTGTGTGTGTGTGAGAGAGAGAGAGAGAGAGAGAGAGAGAGAGGGGGAGAGGGCTGAGGCGTTGCAAGGAAGGCCTCGAAAGGCAGCTGACCAGGGCGACATATATATAAACAATCATATCCACACAAACGCACGCACGCATGTACACGCACACACATACACAGATAGATAGATCGTTGGGTAGGTACACACACACACACACACACACAGAAGAGAGAGAGAGAGAGAGAGAGAGAGAGAGAGAGAGAGAGAGAGAGAGAGAGAGAGA